CCAGCTGATTTTTGATTTATTGTAGAGATGAGGTCTCACCAAGTTGCCCAGGCGGGTCCCGAACCCGTGGGCTCAGGCAATCCACTCGCCTTGGCTTCCCAAAGTGCTGGAATTACGGGCTGAGCCACCAAGCCCGTCTCTGGGTGGTTTTCTATGGATTTTTATTATATAGACAACCCTCTGTCTATGCCATTGTTCATCGTGCTTCATTCAGCAAACTTTAAAGCCCACAAATCCATATTTCAGAACTATATTTTAATGACTGTGAAACAGCCTACCTTTGAATGACTAAATTTATTTAGCCAATTTTCTTCTGCGGAATGCTTACATTAATTCTAACTTTTTGCTATTAAAAATACTGCTGTGCTAAATCTACTTGTACGTAAAGTCTGGCTGCTCTGTGACAACTTATATAGGGCAGATTCCCAGAAGGAGAACTTTTCTAGAGCTCTGGACTTGGCGGGCCAGAGCGTTTTCCATCAGAGCTGGCAGTAGCCATGCCGGGTGGGGTGTTGGGAGGGAGTCCCATTGATGGCCCTCGACGCCAGGAGCCTGCTGGTGGTTCGCCGCCCAGTGCTCTCTAGGACATTACCTTCAGTTCAATCCTAAGAGGGGAGTGATTTCCTCATTTTACCCACAAGGAAGTAATCCCTTCTTGGCCTTTCTCCCAGAGGCATGATAAAGCCCAAGCAAGATAAGGAGTTTTAAAGGCTTTCTCAGAAATGACACCTCTTAAAGGTGGTATTTTTTTCTGATTATAATAGTAATACTAGCTCACTGTAGAAGGTTTTGGAAAGTACCCAAAGTAAAAAGAACTTGAAAGTTCACTTGTTTTTAAAGAATGTTTAAAGACAGTGAACATAACCACATGTAGGATTTTTGTACTTTTCTGTATGTTTTACACCAATTAAAAATTTCAAAAATATTAATAAAATAAAAAGGCTGCCAGGCAGGGTGACACACACCTATAATCCCAGCATTTGGGGAGGCAGAGGTGGGAAGATCGCCAAACCCAAGTTCAAGACCAGCCTGGGCAACTTGGCAAGACCTCGTCTCTACAATAAATAAATAAAAAATTAGCCGGTGTGGTGGCACATGCCTGTGGTTCCAGCTACTTGGAAGGCTGAGGTGGAAGGATCACCTGAGCCCAGCGGCCAAGGCTGTTGTGGCCGTGAGTGTGCCACTGTTTGATAGCCTGGGCGACAGAGTAAAACTCTGACTCAAAAAGAAAAAGATCAGGCACAGTGGCTCATGCCTCACACGTTAGGAGGTCAAGTCAGAAGGACCACTTGAGCCCAAGAGACCAGCCTGGGCAACATAGCAAGACCACATCTCTACAAAAAATTTAAAAATTAGCTGGACATTGTGGTGCACAGCTGTAGTCCCAGTTACTTGGGAGGCTGAGGCAGAAGGATATCCTGTACCCAGGAGGTCAAGGCCGTGGTGAGCTGTGATCGTGCCACCACATCCCATCACCTGGGTAACAGAGAGAGACTTTGACTCAAAAGAAAAGAACAAAAAACTTCAAAATCCCTGATACTCTCATCTCCAACCTCGTCCTCCTGACAATGACTACTTTCCCAAGGGCGTTTCATATTTGCAAGGCACTTTCTCCAGCCCTCATCATAATACATTCACAACCAATTCTCAAGGAGAACTTTATTCTCACCCCATTTTCAGGTGGGAAACCGAGGGTTCCAGAAACTCACACAATGGATATGTAGCAGAGCTTGCTGTCCACCAACTACCTCTCAGATGCCTGCCAAGGTATGTGGCATTGTCCTCACTTGGCAAAAAGAATACTTCAGGAGTGTGACCTTGAACCCTTTGTGTGGTGGCCACCTCTGAGTGGCCCCTAATGATCCCTGGCTTCTTGTGCCCATACCCTTGTACATTTGGCTCCCGTTGAGTGTGGCTGGACCCCTGTGACTTGCTTCTAACTAAAAGGATACCAGAAAGAATACTAGAATATGAAAATGTGATGAGCTGTCACTTCTGAGGGGCAAGAAGCAATGAAGCCACGTGGTGAGTAGCCCTACGGAGAGGTCCATGCTCCAAGACACTGACATCTCCAGTCAACCACCAATAAAGACCCAGGTCTGCCAACAGCCACATAAATGAACTCGGCATTGGATCTTACCCCACTTGAGCCTTGAGATGACTCATGCAGCTGACACAATTGCAGCCTTGTGAGAGACCCTGAGCCAGAAGCACCCAGCTAATCCCTGCCTGGATACCTGACCCAAAGAAACTGTTAGAGATGAGTTTCTTCTAAGTCCCTAGGTTTGGGGTTAATTTGTTACACAGTAATAGATAACTAATATACTTTGCTGAACAACTCTTATCAAAAGACTGGTGGGCAAAATTCATGAAGGCCTCTCAACTATAAACTCCGCAGTCCATGCATGTCCACAGACATTCTGTTATACTGCTATTTTAAAAGAACCAGCTCTTACTTCTTTTTTTTTCATTATTTTTCACCTTGAGACTTACTAACTTTTTCTTGTAGTTTTATTTTACTGCTCTTTTTCTAGCTTCTTGAGTTGAATGCTTAGTTCACTAATTTTTCATTTCTGTTTACTAATACACACATCTTGAAGCTATGCATTTTCCTCTGATTGCCACTTTGCCCACCTCTCATAGTTTTTGAGATGTTCTGCTCAATAATCTAAGCATTACCCTTGAATTAAGCCAGATGGTCAGAAAGTTGTTCTCAGCACTCAGTAAGTGCTTAATAAATATTTATTAACTGATTAACTGAGTAGCAATAATAAGCATCATTATTGGGGAGGACTTAGAATGTGAAGCATCAGGAATAGAGGGTTGGCTAAGTAAATGATGGTACAAAAATATAGATGACTATTATATAGCTATCAAAACTCGCATTTTTGGAGACACTCTATGAACACAGTCCCCTGCACACGGTACAGTGTTGATGCAGAAGGCAGCTGCAGAAGAGGCCTCCAGGGCTTTGTGACTGGCCATTACAGAGCTACCCTCACTGACCCGTGCATGAGGCCACAGGCTCTACAAGAGCAACACTGAGGATCAGTCATACAGAACAGCTAGCACATGCACCTCTGGGACACCAGGAAAGACATTGCCCCGTTGGCCCCAAAGGCTCCCCCTAAGGCAAAAACAAGCACTTAGGACTTTATTCAGATGTGCAGGATTGAGGGCCTCCAGAGAAAAAAACATAGACTATAACCAGGTCTTCAAGACACCAAGGCTAGGTGGGGAATCAAGCTTGGGCAGCGGGAATAACTGGGAAACAATCATTCCCTCAGTGGAAGACCCCAGAAAGTTCCAGGATTCTGGGGCAGGAAGAGTCCTCAAATGTCATTTGGGATGGTACAGGACTTAACTCTTGATTCCACCACTCTCTAGCTGTGCGATCTCAGGTCAAGTTACTTAAGCCTTCTGAGTTCGGTTTTCTGTTTTGTAAAATGAGAAAGATAAATATTGTGTTGATTAAAGGAGAGAAAGCCTAGCACTTTGTTAATACTTTTTATTTTTTTA